CCCCCCCCCCCTTTCTCTCTCTCTCTCCCGCCTTCTGCCTTTATTTATGTCGTCATGTCTTCCTGTCTTTCTCCCGTTCTATGTTTCGATCTTGGTTTTTCCTTATTTATATCTTTCGTTCTCTCTTTAGTCATATCTTCTCTCTCTTTAGCATTCTCTTTCATTACTTCTCTTTGGGTTTTGTTATTCATGCACGTCTTTCTGTCTTTACAGATTTCTTTTTTCGTCCTTTAAAAAATTTAATAAATTTAATTCTTCCTTTCGGTCTGTCTAACGACCAACCTACTTGCCGACCTGCCCACCTACCCACCTACCTACCTACCTACCTATACCTACCTACCGACCGACCTACCGCTACCGACCTACTTGCCGTAGACCTACAAACCTGCATGCATGCAGGAATTACTGCATACTGCCGTGGTCAAAAACAATCAATCCCAACTTGCAGGCAGAAAGGAAGGACAGTCTTTCAGGAAAGCTCCAGGTATCAAGAACATACTGGAGGTGTAGGGTTTTGGCGCTCAGGGGGGGTGAACAGCCGTGATACGTCAGCCTGCCAACAGCGCATGCCAAGTTTTTGCCTGAACGGCAAAAACAGCTACGGATCCAACGACCTGAGTTTCATTACCAAACTCCGCAGAAGTCAACTCTGCAGCAGCCTTGAATCCCAAACCCTTACCCGACGTCCCAACAACAATACCACCCAAATCATAGAATCCACTAAGCCTTAGACTAAGCCCCACTCCCTGAATTACCGCTAAACCCCAAACCCTTAGACCGTTCACCCTAACAGCCCAACACCCAAACCCTGAACCCCAAATACTATAAACCCCAAACCCTCAACCCTAAACCCTACAACCCTCAACCCTAAAACCCTCAACCCTAAACCCTGAACCCTCAACCCAAAACCCAAAAACCCTCAACCCTAAAACCCTCAACCCCAAAACCAGAAACCATGCCTTCTTCGTTGCCGGCGCAGCCGTTGCCGGCTCCGTCGCAGCATCGCCCTTCTTGGAGCCCCACCTGCTGGTGATTTCGGAGCTTGTTTAGGGCCTAGGGGTTTAGGGGTTTAGGCTTTAAGGTCTAGGGCCGAGGGTTTAGGGGTTTAGGGGTTTAGGGTTTATAGGGTTTAGGGTTTGGGATTTAGGGTTCAGGGTTTAGGGCTTAGGGGTTGAGGGTTTAGGGTTTAGGGCTTAGGGACTTTGTTCCAGAAGTTTGCAACAAGGATGGAACTTGGAGATCGCAGGAGTAGGGCATCCTCAGCCACGGTGTCGGGACTGTGCCGGGTTCGGGAATCGGACATGTTGTAGTGCGCACGAGAAGGTTTATACGGGTTTAAATAGACTACATTACAATGAACCTCTCCTGATCATTCTATGATAAGGTTTACGTTTGTATGGGATCTACCTATAGTCCCCTTTGTAGTTCCTTTTGGGGGTTACCTTACAAGATCCTTAATATATAGAATTGGTTAAACCAAAAAAAGGCACTACAATGGAGACTATAGGTAGGGATCATCTATTGTGAAAGTTCTTTTCGTGCAAACCCCGTTACTTCAGAACCTGGGCGCGAGAGGCGACTTTCAGTTTCAAGGTGCATAGGTGAGGGGTTTTGGAGCTTAGGCTTCGGATGAACAGACGGTTTAGGGTTTAGGGTTTAGGGTTTAGGGTTTAGGGCAGTTCAACACAAAATCCTATAGGGCTTTGAGGCAAGCAAGATCCTCTTAAGCCCAACACGGGGGCTTTAGGGCTCACGGGGCTTATGCAGGGTTTAGGGAAAAGGGTGCGGGTCAATTTAGGGTGTGCCTCAAGCCAGCTTGGGGGTTTAGGGCTTAGGGTTTAGGCTTTAGGGTTTTGGGTGGAGGGGTTTAGGGTCTAGGTTTGAGAGGTTTAGGGTTTGAGCCACAAGTTTTAGTCGGTGCTAGAAACTCTGGTTCAGAACAGGGGGAGGGGAATATAGTGGTAGAATTAAAACAAGGAGCCCTGTCTGCCTATATCAGACCCTAATCAAATGGCACTCAACTGTAGCTCCACTTTCGGCTACCTGTGCAAATCCGTCTTGCTACAGGGCAGGAACCGTAAGATTGGCTCACCACCAGGCGAAGGGTGGCGAGATGGATCCATCGCACTCCAGCACAGGAGATGCTCCGGCAAGTGCTGTTGCACACCCAATCCAGTTAGTAACGGGGCACCCGCATGGAAAACTATTCATGCACGAACAACCAGTCAGCACAGCGGCTTTATGAATCGTGTCTGAGCTCAGGATTGTTGAGTACACCTAGACTCAGACTAGAAAACCACACTCTAAAACGCCCTTAACCACAGCCTGACACTACCTCTAGCTCTTACAATTGTAGCCTTGGCCCAAAACAAACATGCGGTTCATGGAAATACTAAATTTAAACCCCGAAAGTTTCAATCTCGGCGTCAATTCGCACCTCCTCAGAACCCCCAGAGAGCCATTCAAGAACGAGAAAACGGACCACCCTCATAGGACCGGTACAGTGAAACAAAACCCCCTATAATACACTCTAAACCTTACCCCTACACCATAAACCGAACCACCCTAAAACTATAAAGACTAAACCCCTACACTATAAACCGAGCTACCCTAAAACTATAAAAACTAAACCCCTACACTATAAACCGAGCTACCCTAAAGCCTCAACTCTTCGTTTCGCCTCCTCGTCTTGCTTTCAGCCGGGGCTTCCTCGCTCGCTTCCCCCTGCGGCACCGCGACCGCCTTCAGTGCATCGCGCGCCTGCGCTTTACAACGGCCCTATAAGTGCTGGGTCATAACCCTAAACCCTAAACCCTAAACCCAAAACCCTAAACCCTAAAGGGTGCTATGGGGTTCCATGTAAGGCTCCTATCAGGGCTCTCTGGGTGCGAGAAAGTTTAGACTTGTGCCGAAAAACTAGGCTTAGGGCAGGAATAGGCTCTATATGTCTGAAGGTTAGGGCCCCCTGTATGCTAAGGCATATACGGTTAAGGGTTTAGGGTTTAGGGTTTAGGGTTTAGGGTTTAGGGTTTAGGGTTGCGGTTCAGTTTTAGTCAACGGTATTGGGTTCTCTGGTAAAGTCAGGAAGGCGTTTGGTTTTGGGCTTTAAGGTTTTGCTACCGTCTCCATCGTAGCTATTCTGGCTCACAAATTCTATGGGTTCGATGGTTTCATAAACAAGCATGGAAACTAAAATAGAAGCTACAGTGCAGACTAGAGTAGTCTAGGTATGTATAAAGGATATGACACAGGATCTGTAGAACCAAACTGCTCTGCATTGCCCAAGCTGAATACTATTATGTTATATACTTGAGACACCGAGATGACGGGTAGTGCCTGTATACTTGTAACTCGTGAACTGACATACATGAACTTGATGGTGGTAACAAGCAGAACAGAAGTTCAGAGAAGGGAAAAGTAGATACATGTGTAGCTTTCTAGATCACTTAATGAACCGCTTAGTGAACGAATATTAAGTCAAGTTATGAACTAATTGTTGAGCTAACAGGGTCATCCAACAATTGGTCAGCCAGTCAATCAATTACCTATCTGACTAATTCGCTGTGCATTTTATTTGACAACTAAGTACTTACTTTCGTTAATTACTTAAGGACGAAATGACCCTTAAAAGGTAGGGGCCCTATACCCTTCTACTATGAATCCCTATACGGTGCATGAGCCCAGAACCCTTTTGGGGTTCATGTCGTCCTGGTGGTTAACTATACCTAACTAACTGATTACTGATAAGATAAGCTATTCATGATTGATTGATTGATTGGTGGGTTGATTGTTTGTTGGTTGATTGGCTGATTGATTTGTTGATTGATTGATTGGCATCGGGTTGCAGAACCGAAGGATGAACGAATATCGCATTCAAGGGGAGGCAGTGACTTTCAGCACAAGACCTTAAAGCCCAATAGCCTGGCCCAAAGAAGTTTAAACTTTTCTTTTAGTAGGGGTTTAATATACCAAAAAAGTGTAAAGTTTACCTATTGGGCTCCTAAGAAGAGCGCATCAAACTGTTGTCGGAAAAGGACACAGAAGCCCGAGACGCCAAACCCTCAAATCGAGAACCTAAAGCTCTATAAACTCTGAAGCCCCAAACCCAACACCCAAACTCCAAAGGCCTTAACAAAAATCCCAAGTCCATAAAACCCTGAAAGCCCCAAACCCTAAACCCNNCCCCCCCCCCCCCCCCCCATAGCATGACAAGGCCTTCATCAGTGCGAAGCCGAGGATGTTCCGACCCTGCCACTGCTCTGGGTCGTAGACGCGCGGGTCACCTGTCGGTTTAGGGTTTAGGCTTAGGGTTTAGGGTTTGGGGTTTAGGGTTTGGGGTTTAGGGTTTAGGGTTTAGGTACACGAGCGCAGCGGTTCAAGGTTCAGGGTTCAGCTTAAGGCTTATAGGGCTTGGGGCGACTCTAGACTAAGTAGACCACAACATGTTTACAAGAGTTCTTTAAGGTTCTTCTGAAGGTTTCAAGGTTTCATCAGGGTTCTACAATGGCTTTGTAAGGTTCAGGGGTCATGTAAGCCCCGTAGCTGATAACACCCCCCCCCCTGAGATGTAACCTG